ACACACACACAGGTACACTCACACACATACAGCCCCAGTGCCTTGTCCCCAAAAGCTCCAGCTGCTGTTTCACCTGGCTGGAGCAGTGAGGCTGCTCCTGCCCATCCGTGCTGGGGCTGTGAAAAGGCAGAACACTGAGAGCAGCTGTGCAGGTCCCCCAGGGCTGGGGACATGCTGGGGGTGGTGGCTGTGTCGCCTGCCGGTGACAGCAGTGTCCCACTCCCTGTGACACGGCTGTTCCTGCTCCTGCACGGGCTGCGGGGCCAGCACAGCCACCCCGTCCTGGTCCTGGTCCCGGGATGTGGGCAGGGACAGGGACTGTCCGCCCCGAGGGGCGGGATCTAATCCCCCCAAGGGATCCCGGGGCTGTGGGCTGTGCCAGTTTTGGGGATGGCAGCAGACAGGGTCACCTCTGTCACCCAGTTAGATGTGACAGTCTGTCCCCCACATGCCGTTGGGAAGCAGCCAGAGCATGAAATCACCACCCACCATAAATCACCCCGAGCTGGTACCACCCCTTTGCTTTTCCTCACTCTCACTTCAGCTCGGTCCCGTGGGAATGAGGTGCCCAAAATAGTTGTGACCCCAGGGCGGGCAGCAGTGCCACTCGCAGAGCTGTGCCCGCACTCCCCGTGTCCCTGTGCCACGGCCACCATGGTGAAGTGCCTGGTGAAGATCAAAACCAGGGTCAGCGTCCACCTGTGGCTCATCAACCACTGCTGCCGGGGGGTGCGGGTGCGGGTGCTGGCCCTGGGGCCGCGCCTGCTGTCCCGGGCCCTGGGCATTCTGCCTCTGCTCCCGGCTGGCCCCAGCCTTGGCCACGATGGGGACCCACCTGTGCCAGGTAATGCCCTGGGGACCCACCTGAGCCAGGTAACACCGTGCCGCGGGGCTGGGATCTCCTGCAGTGTCCACGGGGCAGGGACTGTGGTCCCCATAGCCAGCTGGGATGCAGGAATGTGGGGATGCAGGAATGTGGGATGCAGGATATGCGTGCCAGGGAGTGAGCTGGGGTCTCTGAGGCTGGCTGGACTCCAGGCTGGTATTACCACAGTGGTGGTGGGGCTGGACTCAGATTCCCAGGATTTTCTGGGTTCTGCTGTCGGTGCTGTGGAACTGGTGGCAGGAGGGTTTGGGTCTGGGGCAGCACTGCTGTCACTGTGCTGATGAGCCCCTCAGTGGCTGTCCCCCATGTTGGGGACACAGTGGGTGCCATGGGGAGCATTCCCATGAGAGGGGAGGGTGCAGAGCTGGCAGGTGAGAGCGAGTTCCCTCCTCACTGCCCGGGAGCTGCTGCAGCTCACACTGCACCGGGCTGGGCTGGAGGCATCCGGCCCCGGGAGGCTGCAAATCCCCGGGAATGCACGGGATGAGCTCCGGGTGCTGCCCTTCACCCTCGGGCAGCCAGGACAAGAGGTGACAACGTGTCGAGGTGCTTTGGTGCACTGTGCTCTCCCCTGGCCAGCCCTGTCCCTCTTCAGCCCCCGGCAGGGTGGCCCTGGGGACCAGCAAGTCCCCGCCGTGACCTTCAGACACCCTCCCTGGAGCTGGGGCCACTGCTGGGGCAGAGCTCCTATCCCCTCACCCCCTGCCAGGACACCCATATGTGTGTGGTTTCTTAGAATTTGGGGATTTGGAGGAGATGTTGGTAGGGGCAGGAGTTCCTTGGCACAAAGGACCAAAGCTCAGCCCGGTGTGGGGCTGGCACGGGGGCTGGCACGGGGGCTGGCACGGGGGCTGGCACAGGGGCTGGCACACAGCTCCTGCCGCGGCTCCGACTCGTGTGTGAGCCAAGTCAAACTGTTGGTGTGTGGTGAGCTGAGAGCAGCCTGTGCTGCAGGGGCTCCGGGACATCTCCCCCCATGTGCTGGGGGACCCCCACCCCCACCAGAGCAGCACCTCCCTCTCTTCGTGCACCTCCCACCCGGGCTTCTCACCATTCCCACCCATCCCTGCACTCCTGCACTCCCCAGTTCGTTCCTGCCAGAGGCACAGGGGCCCCAAGCACTGCGGGCAGCTGCCAGGGGCACTGTCACTGTCACCAGGGCCCTGTCACTGTCACTACAGGCACTGTCACTGTCACCAGGGGCCCTTTCACTGTCACCAGGGGCACTGTCACTGTCACTACAGGCACTGTCACTGTCACCAGGGGCCCTTTCACTGTCACCAGGGGCACTGTCACTGTCACTACAGGCACTGTCACTGTCACCAGGGGCCCTTTCACTGTCACCAGGGGCACTGTCACTGTCACTACAGGCACTGTCACTGTCACCAGGGGCCCTTTCACTGTCACCAGGGGCACTGTCACTGTCACTACAGGCACTGTCACTGTCATCAGGGGCACAGTCACTGTCACCTCGGGGCAGCCACAGCCCGCGGGTGCGTGTGGTCGCTGCGGATGAGCCCGGGCCCTGCAGGGTGAAGGGGCTGCAGGTCCCCAAGGACCAACAATAACAAGAAGAAGCGACCCGGGGCAGCCGCGCTCTGTCCCCACGGGGGACACCGGGGCAGGGCAGTGCGGGAAGCTCCCGGCTGTGGAGAGGGGACCCCTCTGCACCCCGCTGAGCCTCCCCCTGTCCCTGCCCTGTGTCCCCAGGCCTGGAGTCCCTCCGTGACAGCGCCCACTCCACGCCGGTGCGCTCGGCTTCCCACGGCGACGCCTTCGCGGGTCCCGGGCGGAGCGGCCGCGCCGAGAGCAGCGAGCGGGTGGCCGTGATCGCCGACGAGAGCTACAGCCCCGCCGACAGCGTGCTGCCCACGCCCGTGGCCGAGCACAGCCTGGAGCTGATGCTGCTGTCGCGACAGGCCAACGGGGCCCCGTGCAGCATCGAGGAGGAGAAGGAGTCGGAGGCGGGCACGCCGGCGGCAGAGGCGGAGGGCGAGCTGCGGGCGCTGTGCCCGGGCACCGCCGGCCTGGGGCCCGCACAGGCCCAACAGGTGAATAAGTTTCTTTTAAGTGTCCTCCGTTTGCTCCTTGTGACAGTTGGACTCCTCTTTGTTTTGCTCCTCCTCCTGATCGTCCTTACCGAGTCCGACCTTGACACTGCCTTTTTCCGTGATATCCGCCAGACCCCAGAGTTCGAGCAGTTCCATTACCAATACTTTTGTCCCCTCAGGCGATGGTTTGCCTGCAAGCTCCGCGCCGTGGTAAACCTGCTCATTGACACCTGAAGGCAGGAGGCGGCACGGGGGCCCGGAGCTGCGGCGGGAGCCGCCGGGCACTCACTAACCCTCCCCTCCCGACACACAGCCCGGCCGGCCCAGGAGGGGCTGCCCGGGAGGAAGAGGAGGGTGGGCGCAGCCCCCGGAGCCCCCTCCTCCCCGTGGCCACCCCCGGAGCCCGCACGGCACCTCCCGTCCCGACCCCACGACTTGGGAAGCACCGAGCAGAGGGGGAGTTCACTGCTCTGCCCGCCCCGGGCTGGCGGGGCCGTTCCGCAGGAGCTTTAGCAATGGTGCTACTGAGGTTTAATTTAACACTCGTGTACTGTTCCGGTATCCAATCCGCACTGTGCCCGCCGCCCCCGCCCTCACCAAGCGCTTGGCAGAGCCCTCCCTGCTCAGCGGAGCCTCCTCCGAGGTGACACCGGGCCCCCGTCCCCGCAGCCATCCGGAGCCCTCGCCCTGCTGCGGACTCGGCCCTTCGCCACTTTTTTAAAGCCTTGAAGCATCGCTGCTCCCGAGGGCAGGGGAGCATGGAAGCCAGGGGCCAAACCTGGCGTGGAGCTGTAGTGACTGTGTCAGATTTATTGGGATGACCTTTACCCTCCGCCAGTTGTACCTGTTTTGTAAAAAAAAAACAAAAAACAAAAAACAAAAAAAAAACCAACCAAGCAAAAAGAACAAAAAAAGAAAAGAAAAGAGACATTTCAAGGTCTATTTTAACAAGGAAATGCTATTTTGTTATCAAATCTAATCCAGTCTTTTTTTACTTTTTGGATGGGGTGACCATGGGTGCCAGGACCCAGCGGCTCCCAGTGAGCAATGGTTTGAGTGAACATGGAACCCAACACCAGCCAGGCCCTGCTGGGTTTGGGACAGAGAAGGAGCTCTGGGTTTGGGACTTTTCCCAAGAGGACTCAAGTTCAGAAGCGCAGGTGACACTGAAGAAGCCAGTGGACACCTTTAGCCCTGACTGGTTGAGTGCAAGTCCATAAAGCCAAGTCATGGCACCGGTGACAACCCCCAGGACTGTTGGTCACCAGGAGCAGCAGCCCATCCACAGGGAGCAATAACAGCCAGTTCTGGTTAGCTTGGGGTGACGAGTTGGACATATCAGGAAAAAAAAAAAAAAAAAAAAAAAAAGGTAAAAACAGTTGAGCAAGTTTAATTTCATCTCAGGGAGAGATTTTTCTGTAAGCTGGGGCCATACCTGCAGTTTTACAAAGCCTGATGTCCGCGTTGTGTTTGAGCATCCAGCACCCAGCGCCGGGCGGGACGGGGGGGACGTGGGGCACACGGGCTCCTGGTCACTGCAATAAGGGGAGAGGTCCCGTGGGGGCACAGCCCCCTGCCCAGGCCATGGCCCAGCACAGCACAGGCACGAGGAGGGGCTGGGGTCCAGCCCTGGCTCCAGAGCAGGGCAGGAACCCCCGGGAAGGCTCCGGGAATCCTCCGGAAAGGCTCCAGGAACCCCCGGGGAGGCTCCAGGAACCCCCAGGAAAGGCTCCAGGAACCTCCCCGGGAAGGCTCCAGGAACCCCCCCGGGAAGGCTCCAGGAACCCCCCCGGGAAGGCTCCAGGAATCCCCCCGGGAAGGCTCCAGGAACCCCCTGGGAAGGCTCCAGGAACCCCCTCGGGAAGGCTCCAGGAATCCCCCCGGGAAGGCTCCAGGAGGTGGAGGAGTGATTTTTTTTTACATGATAATCCTGTTTTATGCAACATAGCAAAAGTAACTCTTAGTGTAGTGTTCCTACCTCAGCCCATAGCGCTGATGTTTCTATGCAGTTGTGCTCGTCCCGACGCTGACATTTTTTACCCCGGGTTAACGCTGCAGTGTCGTCCTTCCTCCTCCTCCTCTTCCTCGCCTCACTGCAATGTTCTGTGTGATGTGACAGCACAGCTCCATCCTCCGAGCCCCCACCTGGGGCCTCTCCCCGTGGCTTTCCTCGGGTAAGGCTCTGTGCCAGCCCCAGGTCACCTGTGCCGTTGTCACCCAGCGTTTTTCTGCAGAACCACGAGAATTGGTGATTTTCCCTCGTACGTTTCTCCCGTCTGTCCCAGACCCTGCCCTGTGTTTCAGGCCTTGTTAGTTTTACCCGTCTTTCTATCAAAATGTTGTTTCCATAGGTCCTGAGATCAGAAACCCATGAATCTCGTCCTAGCATACTGCATCTTTCAGCAGTAGACAGTAAAATACCTGACAATGTGAATTTCTTAGTTTTCATAAAGAAAACCTAGAGATTAACCTTTCATGTGCCAAATACTGTAAGTTACATCTTTTTTTCCTTCAAAATGTACCTTTTTCTACATATCCAATACCTTAGTTAGCATAAAATCATTGGTGCCATGAAAAGTATTTTTAAATTTAAATAAATATTTAAATATCATGAAAAGCAGAGTCGGGATGAGCTTTGTTGAGTGATTCTGATTTTTCTTTACTCGAGTGAAAACAGCTTAAACTGTGAGGAATTTGGTCTTTCAGCAGCTTCTCACTGGAGTTAAGAGTTGCAGAGCTGCAGGTGAGTCCCTGGCACATCTCTGCACTCCAGGAGCAGTTTTACAAATGCACCTGGGAGTTTTGGGCCTCTCACCACAAGGAAGGCACTGAGGGGCTGGGGGGCTCAAGGATCACTTTTATTTCCATGGAAGACACAGGTGCCAAAGGTAGTTCAAACAGTTTATTTTAAGACTTTCAAAGTACATTTCTGTCCTGAGAAACAACAGTCAGCTTGGGAACTGCTCAAAATGGAATGAACAAAGTCAATGCAGAAAAGCAGAAAATAAAGATCTAAGGAACTTCTATTTGAACACGTGAAGGCGGCCACTGGAGTTGCCTCCCACCAGGATGTTCTGGCTGGGGTGGACGACGTTAATGGAGCACACGGAGGTCAGGCAGTCCCCGTTGTGGAAGGAGTGCAGCAAATTCCCGGTGTCCTGGAAGACCTGGATCTGCCTGGGCTGTGCCATGCTGCCCACCAGGAAGCAGTGCTCCTGCTTGGGGTCCCAGATGGCCCTGAAGCGGGTCAGCCAGCGGCCTGTGTTGTTGTTGTGTCTGCAAAGGAAGAGGAACGTTCCTCCTGGTGAATACAGCATTTCAATTGTCATTTATGTCCCATCTGCTCCCCTGCTTTCCAAACCTTCAGCACACTGGAGTGCTCGGATCCCTGCAGTGCATCCCTGCCCTGGGCTGGGCAGGATGGGACAATTCCAGAATGGGTTGGGTTGGGAGAGAACTTAGAGACAACCCAGTGCCTCCCTCTGCCAGGGCAGGGATATCTGCCACTGTCCCAGGCTGCTCCAAGCCTTCCAGCCTGGCCTTGGACATTGCCAGGGATCCAGGGCCTGCCCACGCTCCCAGGGAACAATTCCTTCCCCATATCCCCTCCATCCGTGCCCTCCGGCAGTGGGAAGCCATTCCCTGTGTCCCTGTGTCCACAGGAGCAGCCACGGCGCTGCCTTGGCCCAGGTGTGCTGTCCTCGTCCTCACCTGATGGAGCTGAGCAAGGTGACAGGGGATGACAAGGACGTGGTGTCGTAGACCCTGGGCACAGAGCAGATGAACACATGAACACCGTGACCCTGTGCTAAAACAGCCCTTCCCTCACCCAGAGCATCAGCTCCTGGGCCCAGCCTGGCCACAGGCAGCAGCAGCCCAGCTGGAGCCACTGCACGTGCAGGGCAACTGCAGCCCAGCCTGGCTGCCTGGAGAACCCAAAGGCCAGCCCAGCATCCCACCTGCTCCTCCACCCCACACCAAATCAGGTCATTACTTCAATTATGGTCACAAAGTAACCAGGAGGAAAAGAGCCTCTAACACAAGCAACTCACAGCAGCTTAAATGATGAAAAGGTAGGCTGTTTACAGAAAAGCTGGTATCATCATTATTTCAAGTACCAGCTACAAACAAATTTAGTTTCTGAGCATTTTGTGTTTGTGTTCACCAGGCAGGTTGTGGCTGGCTGTTTTTGTGGGTTTTGATTTTGTTTGATTGTTTTTTAAAGATTAATAGTACCTGTGTATTTTTACTGTTAAATATCCTGAGGGAAAATGAGAATTAGATAAAAAACCAACCAGACCAAAAAAATCATTAAAAACTACATAAAAAACGTTAGTGCAAGTAAATCTTTATCATTTTTTTAAAGTGATAAAGACAGAAAGTTCTCAATGATGGGTCATGTGGAGAGATAGTAATAATAATAGTAATAATAATAATAATAATAATAATAATAATAATAGTGACAATAAACTGCCCAGTCAGTATTGTCCATGAGGATCCTTCCTTCCACAGCCTTACCTCAGCTTGTCATCAGCACACACTGTGACCACCCTGCTGCCAGTGACAGGTGAGAAATAGGCCGAGGCCACACTTTTGGTGTGTCCTGTGAGAGAGCTCAGGGGCTTGTTCCCCTTGGCCTTCAGGTACCGAACATCAAAGACACAAACGTCCCTGCAAAGGCACCACAGACACTTGAGTCATTATCCTTCACTCACCAAACAAGCTCCAGAGCACAGCAGGCTGTGTGGGAGCTGGTTCAGAGCTTCAATATCCACTCAAATGGTGGCTCTGAGGGATTTTGGGAGCAGCAGAACCACCCCAACCAGCCCTCCATGAAGTCCCTCTGTGCCAAAGCCCACAAGGGCCCATCTGTCCCCGTTTGGTTTTGGAAATCAAACCAAATCCCACCTTAAATCCTGCTAAGGACTGGAAACTTATTTTCTGAAAGGACTGAGACAGCTTGGACTGTAAATGGAGGCCGAGAAACTCCTCAGCCCCAGCTGTCCCCAGCACAGAGACCCCTGGGCAAACAAGCAGCTCCACTGGGCTACTTACACAGAGCCAGCAGCCAGGAAATAGTGTTTGTTCACAGGGTGCACGTGCACTGTCCGTGTCCTCCTGAAGCCAATGTCTGCAGAGAGCTCTGAGGACACCCCCGGGGTCCGTCTGTCCACCACAGCCACGGCCCCATCCCACTGACTCACGATGGCAGTGCAGGCATTCTCCTCCAGGAA